GCTGGCCATCATCCAGCTGGAAGTCAGAACTCCCCTTAGAAATGGACCCTAACTGGGTGGACTGTGGCTAAGCACGCCCGGGTCTGGAAGCCCCATCGCACCTCCGCCCCGAGGCTCCCGGGAGGTGCTCGGGAGGGGCGCTGTGGTGCTTGGATGTCACTCCTGGGCTAACCCTGAAACATGACTGGTCTTTGCCCTTTTCGGGTACAGAGCTCCTCAGACCCTGGGGTCTCCTGAGTGAGAGAAGTGTCCTTGTCCATCATAACCGGCTCTTTCAGATCATACCAGAGTTGCCGAGAATGTCTGACTCCCCTGAGAGTCCAGAGGGGCTGGTTCCAGGAAGACCAAGTGAGCTCAGGACTGGAGCGGACCGTCTGCCTCACTCGTTAGCCTCCTGGGGTGAAGACTCTGGGATGCGAGACAAGAGAGGCCAGGGGTCTTCCGGAGCGTGGAACTGAGCGGGGCAGCACGCCCAGTAGAGGCCTGTGGCTGTGTCCCCCCGACCTGGCTTGTACTTCTCTTCCTCCCGCTGTTCATCTGTTTTCTGTTTTTGTTTTTCTGAATCAAGGTCCCACTCTGCCCCTGAGACTGGAGTGTAGTGGAATGATCATGGCTCACCACAGCCTTGACCTCCCGGGCTCAGGTGGTCCTCCCACCTCAACCTCCCGAACAGCTGGGACTACAGGCATGAGCCAGCACTCCCAGCTAATTTTTTGACTTTTTTGAGAGACAGGATCTCGCTGTGTTGCCCAGGCTAGTCCAAACTCCTGGATTCAATCAGTCCTTCTGCCTCAGCCTCCCAAAATGCTTGGGTTACAGACGTAAGCCTGGCTGTTTTCTTTGTAGTAATATAATAAAGTAAGTGCTTGCAGAGTTCCGTGAGCTTCCCTGGAAAATTAACTGAGCCCAAGGAGGGGGTCATGGGAACCCTGATTTGTATATAGTCAGTTGGTCAGAAGCATAGGCATGGCCTGTGCTTTGTTCGTGGAAAAACCAAACTCTGTAAAATATCTTAAAGAGGCTTATCCTGAGCCAGTATGACTGACTGTGGCCTGAGAAACAGTCTCGAGATTTGAAAAAGTGGCTCCCAGGAGTCAGATTAGTGTGGTGTATACACACCAGGGCAAGAATTGCAGGCAGAGACATAGACCCATCCACAGAAGGTGTATGCTGGTCTTGACCAAGGGCAGGCTCTCTTAAAACGGAAGCTCACAGGCCATGGTGGGTTCAAAGTCTTCAGTCACTAATTGGTAAAAGGTGTGAACTCGGTCTGAGTAACTGGAGCCAGCAGAAAGGAGTGTTTTACATCAACATGAGGAAGTTGTTGACCAGGACGCCAAACCAGTGTGGCCTGTGGGTGCCAGGCGTGGCCTCTGGTCCTTTCTGTAACTTGGTATCCTGTTGCCACACACGCCCTGTTAGTCCTGTGGTCTCGATTCTAGCATGAGTGCCACTCAGTTGTACCTAGATGCCGAAAGCAGGGAGTGTCCTGAGGCATGGCCAGCCTCCTTTGCACCAGGCATTCCCGTTCCACTTTTCCCGTAACTCCTTGGCCAAGTGGGGGGCCCATCCCCTTGGTGGGGAGCTTCGGATTTCACTTTTTTTTCTTTTTTGAGTTGGAGTGCAGTGGCACACTCATGGCCATCCCAGCGTTGACCTGCTGGGTTCTGGCGATCCTTCCGCCTCAGCCTTCCAAGTAGCTGGAACTACAGGTGCGTGCTACCATGCCCAGCTAATTTTTTTTATTTATTGTAGAGACCCGGTCTCACCAAGTTGCTTGGGCTGGTCTCAAACCCGTGGGCTCAGGCAATCCACTCACCTTGGCCTCCCGAAGTGCTGGGATTACAGGCTGAGCTACCGAGCCTGACCTGGATTTTGCTTTTATTTCTTATTTGCAACTGGCATTACAGGTGGGGCGCTGTGCCCTCACCTATAGGGTCTGACGCCGTAGAGGGTGTCAGAAATGCCTTGAGTTAGACCCCACTGGTGTCTTCTGGGATCGGCTTGGTGTGAAAAACCCCACACCTGGTGAGAGGTGTCCTGTGGTGGCCACGTGATACCCCGTGCCAGACCTGGAGTTCTGGTCTCTGCTGACCTTGTCGTTCTAGGGTGATTGAGTGACATTCTGTGCTGAGCCTGGAATTCTGGTCACTACTGTCCCTGTTGTCCTGAGGTAGCCGTGTAATGCCCCGTGCCAAGCTTGGAGTTCTGGTCACTGCTGTCCCTGTCATCCTGTGGGTGTTCCTTGAACACCAGCTCCTTGCCGGGTAATGAGTTGGGTTTTGCAAACTCAGTGGTACCCTAGCGCGTGTGTCACAAGTGCATGACAGAGTCCCTGGCAAGAGGGCCTGGTGTTGTTGCAGCCCAGGGAGGGGTGGGAGGGAGTGGGGGTACAGTAAGGTGGGGGCAGAGCCAGTCCAGGGCTCCATCCCACTGTAGGTCCTGTGCCTGGCTGCCGGGCATCCATGGATGGAACTGGCCAGCTCCTACTGTCAGGAGCCCAGGAGTGGCCAGGGTGCCCTGGGTGGGGCTTTCTGTCCCTGCATTTTCACCTCAAGACAGTAAGGTGGTTACTCTCCATAGCTAGCCTTGTCCCAGATGGTGCCAGCGCTCCTTCTGCCCCGCTTGGGGCCTGGCCAGGTCCAGATTCCAGGACCCTGTCATTGAGCTAAATGGTGGCACCATGCTGGCAAAAAAAGGAGAAGAAAGTGGGCATTTCCACAGAGATCTGGCAGTGTGGGTGCCCAGGGTGTGGGAGAGCCTGCTGTTGCTCCAGACAAGGGTCCAGCCTTGTCCTCATCGTGGTCTAGGGTGCCCTTGGACGCAGCTGTCCTGGTGTCCCCAGAAGTCAGGGCGCACATGAGGGGCACCAAGCTGGTAGAGTGATGGCCAACTGAGAACCCTTGACAGATGGGTGGATGCATAGACATGGCCTAGGGAGGGGGAGGGGAGAGGACAACTTCAGTGTTGTCCCCACATGGGGAACAAGGCAGGACACCAGGTTGCCACGCATAGGAACTCATGGGCTCAGTCAGATCACGTCAAGCGTCAGGGGCCTGAGCACTTCCAGGAGAGGTGCTGGGAGAGGCCTCAGTCTGGGAGGTGATGGTGTGCGTCCCTCAGTATAAATGCAAGACACGTGCTGTGTGTTCAGATGTGCAAAATACAAAATGCAGCTGCAGGTGAGGGGTACCGGGACCTCCTGGGGGAGATCAGAGGGGACAGAAGCAGAGTCAGTCAGCCATGTGGCCAGCCAGATCCCAGCTGCCACTGGCTGCACCCACCACAAAAGGGAATGGGGTGCAGGGGGCATCCTCTTAAATGCACTCTGGTCGCCTGAAAGGAAAGGGAGACCCTAGATGTTGGAATCAGAAGAACCTGCTGGGTGGGGGACAGCGTGGGTTTTGATGCCTACGGGGAGGAGGCAGGGCTTCAGTCCTTGAGAGGCCGCAAGCATGTGTCCCCGAGAACTGCTCCAAGGCAGAACTGGCCAAAATGCCCAGCAGAAGGGAAGAAACAGACTGTCCTGACTTTGCCTGTGGCCTCGTGTGTGACTGGGGAGTCCCGCTTGAGAAGTTGAAGGGGGTGTGAGTTTGAATTTGTCTAGAAAGTAACATAATAATGTTAATCCCGGGCTGGTCATGTCCCTGGGGCACCTGGCAGAGGCTCAGGTCCCCAGCCAGGGTGCAGGGACCCCTCGGCTCCCGACCTGCTGGGATGTTATTTGGCGCCCCAGGAACCAGCCAACACAGAGAAAGTCAGGATTAGACTATGGGGTCTTGGCACACAACTGTCAGAGGCCATAAAGTGAGACAAGTGAGGAGCAGGCAGAAAGCTGGGGGAGGGTAGGTGTGAGGACAGGGGGTTGGAATCCCCACACAGAAACACGGTGCACAGGCTGGCTCTCCTTCTGGAAACCTTTGTGCACACTGGATAAAACACAGAAAATGCCCACTGCGGGCATGGGAGAGCTGGGCGTGAAAAGCAGCAGAGGGGCCTCTGCTGTTCCAGAAGTGCTTGAGCTGGTGCAGAGCACATGGGTGGCGGCAGAGACCGGTCAGAGACAGGCTGACCGGGGTTAGCCAAGCAGTCACAGGAGGAGCGGCTGGGCAGAGGGACAGGAGCTCGGCATGGCCTGGGAGCCAGGCAGTCTCTGAGCTCTGGGTCCTGCCAGAGCCAACGAGATGCCACCATGGAGGCTGGGTGGTGCAGGGTCCCAGGGGTAGCAGAGCCCTGCCCAGGTGGGAGTAGGGGAAAAGCTCGTGGTCTGCCTGATCTCCAGATGTCCTGCTGGGCTGGCTGGCAGGCTGGTGTGGGGAGAGGGCTCACGGCTCCTGGTTTGAGCAGTTTGGGTGGCAGAAATCTGGAGCTTTGTTTCTGCCTTTCCAGGGAAGTGAACGCAGGTGTGCCTCTAAGTCCAGGGCTTGTTTGCATTTATAAAGCAACTTTAAGTTGGTGACTATACTTTTATTTATTTATTTTTGAGTTGGAGTCTCACTGTTGTCACCCAGGCTGGAGTGCAGCGGCATGCATATGGCCACCACAGCCTCAACCTGCCGGGCTTAGGTGATCCTTCCGCCTCACCCTTCCAAGTAGCTGGAACTACACACACACACCACCACACCCAACTAGATTTTCTGTAATTTATTGTAGAGACGAGGTCTCACCAAGTTGCCCAGGCTGGTCTTGAACCCCTGGACTCAGGCAGTCCTCTTGCCTGGACCTCCCAAAGTGCTGGGATTACAGGCTGAACCAACGCACCAGGCCGTGACTAAACTTTTAAGAGCAGTAAATGTTCAAAGTAAGTAACGTACATGTTTGCTCTTCCTGGTGTTCCAGCCTCTGCTTCCACGCTCTGCCGGGCACAGGCCCTTGTGGTGGCTGTGTTCCTGTCTCCCAGGGTCCCCGCCTCCGCCTTCCATCTTGCATCCTCACATCTGGGCCATCGGAGTGACCCATGGTGTCCGCTTCTGAGATAGCATCGTTGGGGCAGTGGCTCCAACATGTCATCCTCAGCGAAGACCCAAGCCTCAAAAGAGCTCGCTCCTGGCTCGGAGGAGAAGCCGCAGGACAAGGAACTGCTCTCCTGGGGTCCTCTCTCTGGTCATCGGAGCGAGAAGATCGTCTTCACCAGGAGCGAGGGCAGCCCGGACGAAAGCGTGCTGACCGTCACCATCACAGAGACCACAGTCATTGAGTCAGACCTGGGGGTGTGGAGCTCACGGGCGCTGCTGTACCTCACACTGTGGTTCTTCTTCAGCTTCTGCACGCTCTTCCTCAACAAGTACATCCTGTCCCTGCTGGGAGGCGAGCCCAGCATGCTAGGTGACCAACCGGCGGGCATGGGGCTAGGGGTACACTCAGGACAGGGCTTTGGGGGCCAAGAATGGTGGGCAGCAGGGGAGGGATCACTTGCCAACGTGGCCTTCTGTCTCCTACCTGCAGGTGCTGTGCAGATGCTGTCAACCACGTTCATTGGCTGCGTTAAAATCTTCATTCCTTGCTGTTTATATCAGCACAAAGCCCGGCTCTCTTACCCTCCCAATTTCATCATGACTATGCTTTTTGTGGGGCTCATGAGGTAAACAGTCTCCCGTTTTCAGTGGAGTATCTAAGCTTTTCTAGTGTAAAACATCCATCCCGTTGGTAAGTGTGGACTGTGCCAACCGATGTCATATTAGGGGCTCCCGGGTGTGTTCTCAGTGCACACTTGATAAAACCCTAAGGGCCATCTCATGCAGGACACCAAGCGAATCTGGTTTTGTGGCTCTCACTGCCACAGGCATTTACTCAGATGCCCTCCGTAGCAACTTTGAAAGCAGACATGATCACAGTGTGAAGGTGATCGCCTCCTCCCAGGAATGATCCTCTGGCCGCTTGGGGCAATGGAAGTCACCTCACACAGATGGCAGTGCCATCTCCTGGGAGCTTGGCCTAAAGTGTCAAGAAGTGGGTCCAGGCACATTGGCGGGGTGACAGGGAGGAGGCCAGAGGCACCCACTGGCCAAGGCTAGCCCCTGGAGAGGCTGTCTAGTGGCTGCAAGTAGGCAGATGTCTTTTCACAGCACATCTTGCTTATTTTTAGGTTTGCCACCGTGGTTTTGGGTTTGGTCAGCCTGAAGAATGTGGCAGTTTCGTTTGCAGAAACTGTGAAGAGCTCCGCCCCCATCTTCACTGTGATCATGTCTCGGATGATTCTGGGGGAGTACACAGGTGAGGGTGGGCCCCGTGTCCTTCCCCTCCTTCCCTCAGTGCCTCGGTATTCTGGGGAGGACACAGGTGAGGACTTCCTGGGTGCTCGTCTGCCTTTCTATACTGAAGAGTACGCAGATGAGGCCTGCTGAGCGCCTGTGTGTCGTTTCCCTCCCTCACAGCGTCGCGTCCGTCCTTCCTGCAGGGCTCAGTGGGTCCGTGCAGGAGAGCCATTCAGGGTGGCTCCTGGGAGCTGCTGGCATGCCTCCCCATCTTCCCCAAATCTCTTCCCAGTTGTCGCAGTGGACTCACTGGGTCATGTGAGCGAGTTTTTCTCAGGGCTGCTGGATACCTGGATATTGTCTTGTTGCTACACAGAGGTCAGAGCAGGCCTTGCCTTGTGGCTGCTGGCTGGGTGGGGGTTGGGTAGGACCTGGCCAGATATGCACTGGTCACTGACCCAAGGAAGGCGGGGCGGGGCCTGTCTTTGATGCGGCCTATTTTCTTTTCTTCTTTTTTTTTTTGAGTTGGAGTCTCACTCAGTCGCCCAGACTGGAGTGCAGTAGCCGCTCCCGGCTACCGCAGCCTTGACTAGGCTCTGGTGATCCTTCCGCCTCAGCCTTCCGAGTAGCTGGAACTAAAGGCACGTGCTACCACGCCCGGCTAATTTTTGATTTATTGTAGAGATGAGGTCTCGCCAAGTTGCCAGGCGGGTCTCGAACCTGCGGGCTCAGGCCATCCACTCACCTCAGCCTCCCAAAGGCACGGGATTACGGGCTGAGCCACCAAGCCCGGCATGGGGCCTATTTTCAATGGGCCCCATGGGAAGAAGGCGGGGCGGGGCTGTCTTCAGTGGTCTTCACACAAGGTGGCTGCGGCTCTCTTGGTTCCTCTCAGCTTCTCCCTGGTCCAGTCCCTTGCTGTCAGCTGCTCTTCCGGCTCCTGCTTCTCTTTCTCTCAAGACTCAGCAAATGAGTTTATTGACAAAACTCTGGCCTTTTAATAACGTGCGGGTGATCTGCAGCTGCATGCCAGCCTCACATCCGTTTTTCCTGCCAGCCTTTTAAAAAGTAGCATATCCAGTGTTGGTCTGAAAATAGGCAGGTGCAGATAACAGTCCGCTTGTGTAAGAGGGGCTGTTGTATATAAGGAGTTGCCTCTATTAGAAAATGACAAGGTCTTGGCTGGGTGCAGTGGCTCTCATGCCTGTGGTCCCAGCACTTTGGAAGGTGGGAGCGGGAGGATCGCTTGAGCCCAGAAGTTTGAGACCAGCTCGGGCAACATAGCAAGACTTTGTCTCTACAAAAAATAAATAAGTAAAAATGAGCTGGACCAGGATGGCATCTGTAGTCCCAGCTATTCGGGATGCTGAGATGGAAGGATTGCTTGAGCCTAGGAGGTCGAGACTGTGGTGAGCTATGATGGTGACCCTGCACTCCAGCCTGGGCAGCAGAGTGAGACCCTGACACGCACACACACACAAATGTATATAACAGTCTCAAGACCAAGCCAAGTGTCTGCCTGGGGGCAGGAGGAGAGTGAGGGCACCACATGTGCCTGGGACATGCACAGATGTTTTTTAGGTGACTGTAAAACAGAATCCAAGTCTAAGAGGTAGTTCCTAAAAGTCATAGACAAAACAAACAGGCCTCACCAGGGTGGTACCACGTGAAAAGGAGTCTCAGGCAACTCTAACACATCACCATCTGGCTTCCAGCTGTGGGGCAAGCTGTGAGCAAGCCAGCTCTCTTGCTGAGAAGAGTGGGGCCGTCTTGGTAAAGTCTAGCAAAAAGGAATCTGACAGGATGTCAGGTCCCGAGGGACCAAGCTTCCAGGGCCTAGGGCCCCCAGGGGAGTGACTCTGACATGTGGCCTGCCGCTCCAAGGTGTGCTTTCTGTTGCGCCCCCAAGGAGAACTTGAGCAGAGTGTCCTGTGGGGTTGGAGGGGCACAGACTAGAGTGAGGGCCCTGCCAAGGGGTACCCTGGCCTCTCAGCAGAGGTTCTGAGTTGGGGAAGGTGTCCACAGTACCCCTCCACGCACCAGAAGCAAAAGCAAGTCCTCTCCAGAGAGTGAGGGGTGTTGTGAGTTTCCAGTTCCCCTGCGGTGTTCACATGCAATGTCTGTTACTCAACAAGATGCTCTGGGCAGGCCAGAGGACAAGACCAAGCTATGGAAAACTGAGAGGACAGACATGTGGCAAGATGCTCCCTGGACAGAGCTGCTGGCTTCTCTTGACCTGAGTCCTCCTGCCTTGCAGGCTGTGGGTCTGCGGCTTGACCTGCTATTCCGTGACTGTTTCCTGAGGACTTGCAGGTGCTGTTCTGGGCGGCGCCATCCTGCTCCAAGGGAAGGTGGCGGCTCCCTTGTAGGGCAACGTACTGCTCCAAGGACTGCGACTTGGTTCCCTTTTGCTAAACACGGAAGAGTCGTGTCTTCATTTACTTTGAACTTCAAGATAAAGGCCATATCTAAAGTCAGATAGGTACAAAATGACACCCAATAGCCTATTTCCAAAATCGGGGTGGGCAGTAAGTATGGCTTGTGTTGCATTGAGTGGATTTCTTTAAAATCACTTCTATAAAGATTTTGTGTTTCCCAAGGAAACAGAAAGGAATACATTCACTGGGTACATGTAGATGCTCCCACACTGTGCCAGCATGTAAATTGCACTCCTGGCCCCAGGCTCACCCTTCTTCATAGTTACATGGAGACCGTCTCACTCGCCCTCGTTTCGCAAGTGAGAGTTCGTGGGATCAGGAAGAAGGGAGCTGGGCGCCCATGGCTCCACTTGCCGTTGGGGCCAACAGATGCACAGAGCCACATCTGAGGCGCCTGCTGTGGCGAGGGTGACAGGACTGACTTGCAGACATGGACTTTGGTTCGCTTTATTTTCCCTCTAGCACAAGGAAGCTGGTAGGCGTGAGTCGTGGGGTGCGAGGCAAGGCCCGTGCCTCTTGCAGGATGTGACGCGGGCCCTGGCGCTCGGACACGAGCTTGCTCCCTGCGGTCAGCCAGTCACGCCTGTTGTGCTCTTGTCAGGGCTGCTGGTCAACCTCTCGCTCATTCCGGTCATGGGAGGGCTGGCACTGTGCACGGCAACCGAGATAAGCTTCAACATCCTGGGGTTCTCGGCCGCGCTGTCTACCAACATCATGGACTGGTGAGTCGTGAAGGATGTGGGACGTGAGGGGGCGCGGCTTGGCACTCACTTTTCTTCATCTGGGTTGGTGGACGTATAAGCACAGATTAGCCCAGCATTCCTTCCTGTCATTCCAAGCCAGGCACATCAGGTGCTGCTTTTTGCTAAAGAACAAAACCATGGTACCCCAGGAAGGTAACTTCTCTCAAACATAAGCCAGGATTGGAGGATACACGGTCTCAATACTAGAATGCTGATCACAGAGATACGGTCGGTGCGTGGAAGCTGATGTACATGAGCTATACTGAGCAGTGCCATGTGTGTAGACGTGTGTGTGTGCGCTGAGTAGACACAAGAGGCCAGGCCACAGCCAGAGTGAGTCCCAGCCCTGGTGTGAGAGCATCTCCCCTCAGGAGCTGTGGGCAGGCTTTCTCGACAGCCCCTATCCTGCCTTAGTGGCCGTCTGTGCCCTGGCATCATGGCTGCAGAGAGGACGGCGTGTGCAAGGTCCCAGGGGAAGAGGGTCATGTTATGATGTCCTGGTCAGGCAACGGACGAGGGACAGACATTGCATTCCAACTGCTGTTTAGAACTGGGAGGGGCTGGGTGCGGTGGCTCATGCCTGTAATCCCAGCACTTTGGGAGGCCCAGGTGAGAGGATCGCCCAAGCCCATGGGCTTGAGACCAGCTTGGGCAACTTGGCAAGACTCATCTCTACAAAAAATCAAAATATTAGCCGGGCGTGGTGGCACACGCTTATAGTTCCAGCTACTTGGAAGGCTGAGGCAGAAGAATTGCCTAAGCCCAGCAGGTCGAGGCTGCGGTGGCCATGAGCATGCCCCTGCACACCAACCTGGGCAACAGAATGAGATTCTGACTCAAAAATAAGGAAATAAATAAAAGTTAAAAAAATAGAACAGGGCATCCTCATCCCTGCTATGTACTGATGTCCCCACATCAACCCTGGAAAAACCTGCTCTTTCAAAATTACTGATCAAAGCCAGGTTTCTCCTATTTTTGAGAAAAGAAAAGGAAAAAGCACCATCAGTGGCCAAGAGTTTATCATTACTGTTCCCACTAAGGCAGGCAGACTCATCACAAGTTTCTGAATAACAGCCAAGTATAAATAAAGCTCACCTCATTTCCGTCATGTCGGTGCGTTTCCCTGCAGCTTTGTTCTCTACACAGTGGCTTATGGAAACAGCCTGGGCTGCGTCCCCGTGTGTGTGTCTTGCCTTGCTAGCTTGGTGTCATTGCACATGCTCCATTGTGTCACTCATTTTGTGCACATGCACCATGACGTCATGATTCTTCTGTTGCCAAACTCCACTCTTCATGTTCATAAATAGCCTGCACTGACCATCTTTTTACATCAATCTCTGTCTTATGTGTCCAAAGGCAGATGGCCGGATTGAGCCCTGTTTGCTCCGTCTGTCAGATTATTGAGCAGTTGCTGCGACCTGTAGTCCTGCCAGTGAGAGCTGTCTGTCTCACCTTGTCCTCAACTAAGTTTTTCAGCTTAAAGAATTGAGCCCAGGCCAGGCTTGGTGACTTAGCCTGTAATCCCAGTACTTTGGGAGGCTGAGGCAAGTAGATTGCCTAAACCCGCAGGTTCAGGACCTGCCAGGGCAACTTGGTGAGACTTTGTCTCTACAGTAAGTCAAAAATTAGCTGGGCGTGATAGTGCTCGCCCATAGTTCCAGCTACTTGGAAGGCTGAGGCAGAAGGATCACTGAAGCCCAACAGGTCAATACTGGGGTGGCCATGAGCATGCCACTGCACTCTAGCCTAGGCGACGGAGTGAAAAAAAAATTGAGCCAGGCACAGTGACTCACGCCTGTAATCCCAACACTTTGGGAGACTGAGGTGAGGATTGCCTGAGCCCCTGGATTTGAGACCAGTTTGGGCAACTTGGTGAGACCTCATCTCTACAATAAATCAAAAAGAAAAAAATTAGCCGGGCATGGTGGCACATGCCTGTAGCCCCAGCTACTCGGAAGGCTGAAGCGGAAGGGTCAACTGAGCCCAGTGGGTTGAGGCTACAGTGGCCATGAGTGTGCCACTGCACTCCAGCCTGGGCGACAGAGTGAGACTCCAACTCAAAAAAAAAAAAATTGAGCTGGGCATGGCGCCACACAGTGGTAGTCCCAGCAACTTGAGAGGCTGAGGTGGGAGAATCGCGCTATGATCATGCCACGCACTGCAGCCTGCCCAAAGAGCAAGACCCCATCTCTAAAAAATAAATTAGTATTTTAAAAAATAAAATTATAAAATCCACTACTCTCCATAAGAGTCCAGACAGCATCTTGTCATGTGAGTCCTGACCACTTGGTCTATGGAAGCTGGACGTCGCTTTGTTTGCTTGTTGGCCATCTGTGTTTCTCCCCACAGTCCTCTGTCCTGTTCACAAGTCCTTCCTGTCTATATGTTTCTACTAGGTCTTTGTGTGTCTTAATCATGCACACACCTCGGAAACGCGATTTGTGAGAACTCTGTGTAAAGCAGGGCTTTGTGAGGTGCTTAGTGAAGGGCCTTAGGGGTCCTCTGACACCTGGGATGGGGTAGCCTCAGGCCTGTCATTCGACCTCTGAGTGCCTCAGTTCACCCCGTGAGAGGGGACAGGAAAGCTGCCTGCCTAGCTGTGAAATGATGCCTGGGGACACTCGCAGCAGAAGCTCAGCGGTTGTTCATGGAGGTGTCACCATTGTCCCCATCTAGTGCGACTGGGGACATCATGTCCCTTACTAAGGACAGCATCCATGCATAACCTCTTCTTTTCTTTATTCTAGTTTGCAAAATGTTTTTTCAAAAAAGCTCCTCAGCGGGGACAAATACAGGTTCTCGTAAGTATTGTGAGTGGTTCCTGCACACGTAGGACCCGGGATGTCCTGCCCTTTTCAGATCTGGCTTGCCCCACAGCCTGACAGCTCCCGCCTCGGCTCTGCGGCCTTTACAAGGCCTTGTGGAAACTTGGCAGAGGCCCACCTGTCTTCCAGCTCCTCCCCCAGCACCTTCCCCAGCGGGTGTGTGTCTGCCTTTGTGTCGGGCAGGTCCTTCCGGTGTGCCTGGGTGCCCTGGCGCATCCTCACGTGGCGGGCGGGGTGGAGACCAGGCCCCCTCCAGGCGTGGTGGAGCGTTGAGCGTCTGTGGTGTTCCCGCAGGGCCCCGGAGCTGCAGTTCTACACCAGCGCTGCTGCCATGGCCATGCTGATCCCTGCCTGGGCCTTCTTCATGGTGGGTGTCAGAGCAGGATGCCCTCTCTGCGCCTGGACTGCCGTGCCTCGTGAGCGGTCAGGAGCGGAATGGTTTACTGGTCTGAGGCACGTGGCCGGCCGGTTGTCATGTTATAAGCCATGGCCGCCTGGACTTGTGCTGTGGCTATCCCCTCGGGGGCCACTTGGAGCAGTGACAGCTTTCTGTGTGAGCATTTTTATGGGTTATTTATTTGTTTGTTTTTGAGTGAGGTCTCACTCTCGCCCAGGCTGGGGTGTAGGGGCGTGGCTCACCACAGCCTCAGCCTCCTGGGCTCAGGTGATCCTTCTGCCTCAGCCTCCCAAGTAGCTGAGACTACAGGTACCACCATACCTGGCTCATGTTTTTGATTTTTTGTGGAGACAAGGTCTCTCTATGTTGCCCAGGCTGGTCTCAAACTTCTGGGTTCAAGAGATTCTCCCGCCTTGGCCTCCCAAGGTGCTGGGATGGCAGGCGTGAGCCACCACGCCTGGCCTACTTTTATGGTTTTTATTAGGGAGGTAACAGGCCCACTGTGGAACCGCCGACAATGCTGGCTCCAGCTCTCTCCCTGACCCAGGTGCTGTTGGGTGTGGTCCCTCACCTGTCCACATATGTGGTGTGGTTCACTCCTTGCCACAAGTGTACGTTCAAATCTGCAGCACAAGTGGACCTGGGTCACCCTGCCACGTGACCATGTGGGGACTTGGCCCTGCTGATGGCATCTGGGCATCTTGCTGTTCCCTGTTGCCCTGGTGTCAGTGTCTTGTGCAGATGAGGGCATTTTTCTGGGATACATTCTTGGGACTGGAATGGTTGACTGGAAGAATATGCATGTTTAAGGACTTATTGTGGTAAAATACACATACAACTGCCCGTTTTAACCAGGTGTAAATGTAAAGCTGAGCAGTGCTAAGTACCTCCACATTCTGTGCCGCTGTCCCCACCATCCGCCTCTAGCATTCTTTTCATCCTCCAACCCCATTCAACACTCCCACCCTACACTGGCACCCGTCATTCAGCCATCTGTCCCCATGGATCACGGCCCCAGGGATCTTGTGAAGGGGCATGGCACAAGACTGGTGCATTTCACGTGACATCCCCAAGGCCCATCCACATCATGGCAGGTGTTAGAATGTCCTCCCTCTCCAGGGCTGAATCCTGCCCCCCTGCGTGGATGGTCAGGGCGTTGCTCATTGTCCATCTGTCGTAGACACTTGAGTCATTCCCACTCTTGGCTCTTGTGAGCATGGCGTGCAGATACTGAGACCCTGCTTTCAGTTATTTTTGTTTTTTTGGTTTTTCTTTTTTGAGTTGAAGTCTCACTCTGTTGCCCAGACTGGAGTGCAGTGGCCGCTCCCGGCCACCGCAGCCTCAACCTGCTGGGCTCCAGCGATCCTTCCACCTCAGCCTTCTAAGTAGCTGGAACTACAGGCACACGCTACCACACCCAGCTAATTTTTTTTTTGATGTATTGTAGAGAGGAGGTCTCGCCAAGTTGCCCAGACGGGTCTCGAACCCTCAGCCTCCCAAGGCACGGGATTACAGGCTGAGCCACTGAGCCCGGCTTATTTTGTTTGTTTGTTTGTTTTTGTTGTTGTTGTTTTTGAGTTGGAGTCTCACTCTGTCGCCCAGACTGGAGTGCAGTGGCTGCTCCCGGCCACTGCAGCCTCGACCCGCTGGGCTCTGGCGATCCTTCCGCCTCAGCCTTCCAAGTAGCTGGAATTACAGGCATGTGCTACCACGCCTGGCTGATTTTTTGATTTATTGTAGAGATGAGGTCTCGCTGCCCAGGCGGGTCTCGAACCCGTGGGCTCAGGCAATCCACTCACCTCAGCCTCCCAAAGGCGCGGGATTATAGGCTGAGCCACCGAGCCCGGCTATTTTTGTTTTTTAGTATCATTTTTAATATTGGGTATTTATTTATTAACTCACTAAATAACATCTAGTAAAAAGCCTAATGTCTGTGGCACAGCAATGAGAATGAGCAGCATCTCGGTGTCAACAACAGCTGGTGCTGTGGCATGAATGTATTTTTGTGGTTTGTTCCTATGCTCATCATGGAACGAGGCACTGTTTCAGGTGAGGGTCAGTGAAGATACTGTTTGCTTCCCAGTGGAATTCACAGACCTGAATGCAATTGACAGGTCCCCAAAGTCCCTGTCCCAGTGTGGGAGGCAGTTTCAAGTCCTTGTGTCACTGTGACTTTCTGAGTGACCAGCCATTAGCTGTTGAGGGTGACAGGCTGGCCCTTCTTCCTGCAGAAGATGTTGCGCCAGAGGACTGACGCAACTGTCCAAACTGCCAGTTCCATGGGTCTTATGTGCAGCAGTGGAGTTGCCAGATAGTCTGGTACCTGTGTGTTTTGTTTTGTTTTTGAGTCAGAATCTTGCTCTGTCGCCCACGCTGGAGAGCAGTGGCACGGCTGCAGCTCTCTGCAGCCTCAACCTCCTGGGCTCAGGGGGATCCTCTCTCCTCAGCCTCCTGAGCAGCTGGGACTCGTGGCTATGCCCCACACCCGGCTGACTTTGGGGACTTTGGCAGAGACAAGGTCTCACTTTGTTGCTCAGGCCAGACCGTTTAACTTCTTGTGCCATTTTCCACAGCAGCTGCGCTGTCAGACGTCCTCACCCCCAGTATGTGAGGGCTCCAGTTCTCCGCATCCTCACAAGCTTTTGTTGTTTTCTGCTTTGTTTGTATCTCTTTGTGACAACAGCCATTGTCACGGGTTTGGGGTGGCTTTTTGTCACGGTTTACTTGCATTTTCCTGATGCTCAGTGGCGCTGACCCTCTTTCCGTGTGCTTGTTGGCCACTGTGCGTGCATGGTAGAGGCTGATCGGTGCAGTCAGCTGTCCCCATGGAAGGCCTTTCTGGCGTTGTTCTCACCATCAGCACTTGCCCCAATGCCGGGAAGGCCTGCGCTGGGTCTTTTTGGTGGAGGATCTGTAACAGACACATACTCTATAGAGTGTCCCTTTGTTCTGATACATAGGATGTCCCAGTGATTGGGAGGAGCGGGAAGAGCTTCAGCTACAGCCGGGACATTGTGTTGCTGCTCCTGACAGATGGAGTCTTGTTCCACCTCCAGAGCGTGACAGCTTATGCCCTCATGGGGAGGGTCTCCCCTGTGACCTTCAGGTGAGCCAAGGCACTTCCCAGAACAGTATGTGTGGGCTGCGCTGAGAGTAGTGCTCGGGGTGTTTGTCAGAGACATCTGTGATTCCTGTGGTGGCCAGTGGCTCCACCCCACCATCACGGGGCCACTGTGCTGCGGTTGAAGTGCGAATGGCACAGTGTCCGAGATAGACCTTTAAGGAAATTGCTACTGGAAGTCCACAAGTTTCTTGGCATTGCGTATTTTCCTGTCTTGAGCAGCATTTCCAACAGAATTGTCTACAGTGATAGAATGTTCTACTTCTGTGCTGTACTGTGCTATCCAGTATAGGGGCCCCTGGCCACATGTGGCTCCTGGGCACTGGAGACGTGGAAAGTACAGCCCTGTCTCCAAGAAGAGAGAGAGAGAAACACAGTCCCGAGGTCTCACTCTGCTACCCAGGCTGCAGTGCAGTGGTGTGATCACAGCTCACTGGAGCCTTGGGCTCCTGGGCTCAAGCAGTCCTCCCACCTCAGCCACCTGAGTAGTTGGGAATACAGGCGTGTGCCCTTGCACCTGGCTATAACTGGACAAATCTAATGAAAGTACAGTTTTACAGACAGGAGAGTTTTCAGTAGCAAATAGAAAGAAATGAAGCCAGGCTCCATGGCTCAGCCTGTAATCCTGCACATTGGGAGGCAGAGGTGAGTGGATTGCCTGAGCCCGCGGGTTCGTGACCCGCCTGGGCAACTTGGCGAGACCTCATCTCTGCAATAAATCAAAAATTAGCCGGGCGTGGTAGCGCGCACCTGTAGTTCCAGCTACTTGGAAGGCTGAGGCGGAAGGATCACTGGAGCCCAGCAGGTCGGGGCTGCAGTGGCTGGGAGCGGCCACTGCACTCCAGTCTGGGTGACCGAGTGAGACTCCAACTCAAAAAAAAAAAAGAAAAAGAAAGAAAGAAATGAGCTCTTGTCACCAGCAGGCATAGAAACCCTCGCTACTTATGTCAGCATCAGGCCACCTCATATTGTTGTGTAAGTCTGCCCTTTTTTCTCCAACCTCTGTCGTGGGGGAGGTAGAATCATCCCCGAGTACGGAGGCAGAAGTGGATTGATCGTGCTTCTGTCAAGCCCCTCGGGCAGCAGCCTGCGTCGCCTACTGGGGACACTGTGGCCACGCTCAGTATGGCTCTCCTCTCCATCTGGCCCAGGCCACTGTGGCAAGTTCCCACATGTGCTTCTGAGCCAGGAGCCATGCACCACACTCGGCTGCATCCTGCAGCACATAGCCAGAAGCAAACGTCTCCCCCGCCCACGGGTCCGGCAGGCTCCGAGCTGCTGACCTGGTGTGACCGCCCTCATGCAGCCTCCGTTCCAAGTGGGACGTGTGGCAGAAACGGAGAACGGGTGTGCTTTCTGTGTCTCCAAAGCTCACAGAGAGCTCCTGTGGTCACTGTGTCCGTCTCACCAGCGTGGTTTCTCGGGATCCAGGAGTTGCTTCCAAATGTTCCTGAAACTTAGTTTTTCTAATGACCTTTAGTGATCACTGGTGATGATTCAAATAAAGACAGGGGACAGAAAATCAATGATTTAAAAAAAATTTTTTTTTTTTTTTAGTTGGAGTCTCACTCCCAGACTGGAGTGCAGTGGCACACTCACGGCCACCCCAGCGTCAACCAGCTGGGTTCTGGCGATCCTTCTGCCTCAGGCTTCCAAGTAACTAGAACTACAGGCACATGCTATCATGCCCAGCTAATTTTGTTATTTATTGTAGAGACAAGGTCTCACCAAGTTGCCTGGGCTGGTCTCAAACCCTCGGGCTCAGGTAATCCACCTGCCTCGGCCTCCTAAAGTGCTGGGATTACAGGTTGAGCCACTGAGCCTGGCCTTTAATTTTTTTTAAGCCAGGTGCAGTGGCTCACGCCTATAATCTCAGCACTTTGGGAGGCTGAGGCAAGAGGATTGCCTGAGCCCATGGGTTCGAGACTAGCCCAGGCAACTTGGCAAGACCTCATCTCTACAATAAATCAAAAAAATTAGCTGGGTGTGGTGGCGCACACCTATAGTTCCAGCTCCCTGGAAGACTGAGGCAGAAGGATCACCTGATTGGGTAACAGCGAGACTCCGACTCAAAAAAAATTTTTTTTGTTTTATCCTTATTGTAAAAGCAATGAGTAAGTACTCATTATAGAAAGTTTAGAAGAGGCAGAAAATTACAAAAAAATAAAGTTTAAGTTCTCCATAATCCCAACCCAAGAGACACCGCTGATAACATTTCAGTGTATTTCATGTTAACTTTATTTTTACAAAGTCCTAACATTGTGTATATGGTGTTGTTTTTCACTTAACAGTCTCCTCAAAGGCTTGTTTTTTCTTAGGTGCTATAGAGGCACTATAGGTGTGTATGAGGGTTTCTCATTCCTTAGAGAAAAAACTGAAATATTTAGGGGCAAAATGTCATGAGGTCTATAATTTGCCTAAAAGTATTTCAGTTAAAAAAAAAAAAAAAAGAGCCGGGCTCGGTGGCTCAGCCTGTAATCCCGCGCCTTTGGGAGGCTGAGGTGAGTGGATTGCATGAGCCCGCGGGTTCGAGACCCGCCTGGGCAGCGAGACATCATCTCTACAATAAATCAAAAAATCAGCCGGGCGTGGTAGCACATGCCTATAATTCCGGCGACTTGGAAGGCTGAGGCGGAAGGATCGCCGGAGCCCAGCAGGTCGAGGCTGCGGTGACCGGGAGCGGTCACTGCACTCCAGTCTGGGTGACAGAGTGAGACTCCAACTCAAAAATAAAAAAAAAATTTTTTTAATTTTTTAAAAAAGAGCTGGGTGTGGTGGCTCATTAGTCCCAGCTACTCTGAAGGCCAAGGCAGGAGAATCACTTGAGACCAGGAGTTTGAGACAAGCCTGGGTCACAGAAGGAGACCCTGTCTCAAGAGGGGAAAAAGGAAGGGGAGAATAAGACATGTGACTAAGTCTAGATCATGAGAATGTGGCCATTCCCCAAGTTTCCCTACTTCAGTTTGATGCTTTCTATAATAGAAATGCCTCACAAAAGACAGACAGACCTAGAGAGCAGGCGCGTCCCCTCAGAACACAGGGCGCCAGACCTGCTCGGCCGCCAGACCTGGCTGTGTTCTTGCCCTGCAGCGTGGCCAGCGCCGTGAAGCACGCCTTGTCCATCTGGCTGAGCATCATCGTGTTTGGGAACAGGATCACCAGCCTGTCGGCTATTGGCACCGTCCTGGTGACGCTTGGGGTCCTGTTCTACAACAAGGCCAAGCAGCACCAGCAGGAGGTCATGCAGAGCCTGGCCGTGGCCACCAGCCGAACCCCAGAGGACGACGCAGAGCCTCTGATGCCCAAGGACCCCAGACAGCACCCCTGAGCCCAGGCACTTCCAGACGCCCAGGGCCCCAGCCGCTGCCGTCCTCACTGGCAGGGAATCCCTGGTGGTAGGTGTAGCACGGCTCCCTGCACGGGCACTGATGTATTGGGGGCAGATAGGCGTTTTCTGCTCCTTTCTTACTTTTTCAATCAAAACAGGTAGAAACTGGAGTTGGGGATTCCAGGTATCAGCTTCTGGGGCTTACCAGAGCCCAGTGTCCCCTGAGCCTGTCCCCATGTCATGTGACATGGCTTTGCTGGCTACACGGATGCCTGGGAAAAAGCAGGCTTGCCCTCTGCAGCTCCCAGGTGGAACAGTGTCCACTTCCACTGAGGGTGACACCATGGGCCCCACCATGGAACCAGAGCTGGGTCCAGTGCCAATGAGAGCTGTGCCCTGCTCAGAGCCAGCAGAGAGAATGCAGCTCCTCACACCAGCCACCGAAGGCCACCAAAGCCCTGAACAGCGTGGAGACCATCCAAGGGTGCAGATACCACAGGAGCCTGAGGTCACAGAGCAGGGCCAACAGGAGGGGCAGAGGGGCACGGAAGCAAGGGTCTCCTGCTGCCCAGGTGGGTGCTTGTAACCTCTCCCTGCCCGAACCAAGCTGTGGGCACTCTCATGGCCATCGCGGGATGTCTCTCTCTCTCTCTCTCTCTCTCACACACACACACACACACACACACACACACACACACACACACACACCCGCAAAGCTCTAGCCTCACAGAGTGCGCCAGGGAGGTCACACACCTGGGATCGTTAATGTGCTTCTGTGAAGGGCAGGCACCCCATCCCCTTCAGGGCCTGCGCTGTACTGAGCCCCTGCCCCAGGCCCTGTCCTCACCTTCAGCTCCCCATGAGGTGACTTGCAGCTTGGAGGCCAAGACAGTTCTCTTGGGCTCACTCCTAGCAGGAGACATGCTGTCCCACTTCTCTTCTGGCTCTGAGCAGCAGGCAGGTGAGCCTGTCTTCATTCGAAGCTGCTGTTCCCGTCCCATCACCAGCCACCCACTCAGACTCCCCAGTGGATGCTCTGCAGGGCTCACCAGGCAGGATGTGTGTAGTGTGTAGTCTGCTTACCCTACATTTCAAGGAACACTGCACTTCCTCATGAGAGACACCTGTTCGGCCAGGCATGGTAGCTCATGCCTGTCATCCCAGCACTTTGGGAGGTGGAGGTGAGAGGATTGCCTGAGTCCAGGGGTTCGAGACCAACTTAGGCAACTTGGTGAGACCTCATCTCTACAATAAAACAAAAAACTAGCCAGGTGTGGTGGTATGCACCTATGGCTCCAGCTACTTGGAAGTCTGAGGCAGAAGGATTGCCTGAGCCCAGCAGGTTGAGGCTGCAGTAGCTGTGAGTGTGTCCCTGCACTCCAGCCTGGGCAACAGAGTGAGACTCCTATTCAAAAAAAAAAAAAAAAAAAGACACCTGTTCAGAAGATTCTGGAGCACAGGATGTGTCAGGTCACCGGCACCCTGCCCGGCTCTCCTGGAGGGACGGCACTGCAGCACCCAGGGCCAGCTGAGCATGTCCTTGCCCGTCTGGGCCCACCTCCAGGGCTCGAGCAGCCTCTGGATGGGCGGCCACGCGGGGCTCAGCCGCGCGCCAGGCGGCGCGTTCTGCCTCCTTGCCCTCCCGTGCATCCCTGTGGCTCTCGCCAGCACCCCAGCGCCAGCCAGGCCTGGATACGCACGCTGGGCTCCCGGGCCCACTGAGGCACTGACTGCCTGGTCTCGTCCCCTGTCCTGCTCTTCGGGTCTTGGGAAGGCGGTCAGTTCTGCTTTGCACTTGGCTTCTCGCCTGGAAAATGGAACACACCCTGGCCCGAAGATAAGATTCCCCAGAAACAAAGAGCAATAACCACGTCTCACTGAATTCTCCCTACTTGAAAAGCTTGCCATGAGAGAATCAAAGTGAGGCCTTTGGACCCACAAGCCACCTGTGCCGGCCCACCAACTGTGAAGGTGGCTTCTCACGGGACTCTCCCAGACTTCTAGTTCCCTTACTTTTTCTTTCCCAAAAAAGCTCACCAAAATAAAATTCATTGCAGATGGCTGGAGGGGCAGAGAGGATTGATCTTTGAGGACCAGCCTGAAAGCACTCCCCAGGGTGGGCCCCTTTCCCCCGTCCCCACCCAGACTGGTTGCTGCACCAGCTGCTCGCAGGGAGACAGGGCACATGTGGGTGGCTGCAGGACTTCACACCGGCCTTCTTGAGGGCTATAGCCCGAGTGGTGTGCACAGGCACCTGTTCTGAGGACTGTGTGTAGTTTCTGGCCCCAAAGAGTCCACTCAGCCACTCATCCTGACCCGCCCTCCCTCCAGCCTCACAAGCTGCTGTCAGCCCATTCCGCTTTCTAAATGTGTGAACCAGACACAGAACGGACGTTTCCCTGAATTATCAGCAAGCAGGGCAATTTCCTGTAAAGCTGCTCTCGAGCCTGTCCTCCAGCCCGGGCAGAAGCCTGCGTGAGGGCCGGCACTGGGCCCTCACGTGGGCACGTCTCAGCCACTGCTCCTCAGCGTTCCCAGGACAGCCCTCCCCCGAGAGGAGACACAAGGACTGGCCTGACCATCTGTTTAATGATTGTACACCTTTTTTAAAATTAACTTTGTCTAGTACTTTTATAAAATAGTATGTTCTTGTTGAACTGTCAGGTGTGCTCACTTCCACTGGATTCATTCCTCCTGCATCCATGGTCATTGTCCGTGCCTTTGTAAACAGACACTTGACCCAGACCTCCCGAGCTGGTTCATCTCCCTACTTGCATTACTTTGAGATGTACAGATCTTTGACCTTCAAGGAAACCCCCCTACTAATGGCATAAAAAGGTCTTCTGAAAAATTCCGACAGTCATTATCTCTTGTGTCATAGCATTAAAATAATCTGCCTGCCTGGAAGAGTGAGCATACCCTCACACAATCCAAAATGTGTCTTTGAGAAAAATTAACAGTGAATCAGATACAATAAAAAACGCTGTGCAGAGACTGCCAGCCCAGCAGAGCTCTGCTTTGTAGCATGCCTTCAGAATATTTGCCACAAGACCAGGGAGTGTTGCTTCCTGCCATGACATTCCTCTGGGAGGCCAGCTGAAGAGATCAGGAGTAGCAGCAGACAAACAGGACAGCTTTTACTGCTTTCACTAAAGCTTGAAGTGTTTTCACTGTCTCCCTGGGTTGGAAAAAGCAAGCAGGAACGTTATTAGATAGAAATCCACTCTCCTGTTGCCTTTGACCAACATACTAATGACTCTCTTCTTTCCCAAAATATGTACCTGCCCTGCTTGGTCATTTTGTTTATAAATCAGAAGGTCCCAGCTCCCCCAGTGAATCTGAATGTCTTGTTCATGCTGAACCCGGGCCAACCACGGTGCAGCTCAGAGCGTAGAAACTGTCTTCCCGTTTTCCTGGGACTCTTGAGTCTGAGTCTGGCGGCTGTTGGATCCTCGCTCAGACAGCCACTCAGTTGGAAGCTGAGCCAACTGGCAGAGCTTTTTGTTAGCCTGCTTTTTGCTTTCAGTTTTCATTTGCTGAAAAGTGGCATTCAGCTGGTCGCTGTTTCCAGAGTGTCCACAGATGGATGTGTCTGAACTGCCCAAGGGGTGTCAGGAAAAGGTCCAGTCAGGGCGATCCCCCCCCCCAGGAGAGCCTTGAGAACTACCAATAATCGTCCATGTCAGAGCCAAATTATAGTTGCTTTATACCAAACAAACCTATGGAGAGCTAAAAGTACATCGTACAAAATGCTTATCCTGTCACCTGTTTCAGTATTTATGTAACTAGTGCTTTCTAGAAAATGGTTCTGTTAAGCAATTTAGTGAGTCTCTGTTAACTTTGTGGTAATAAACTGATACTGTGCAATTAATCCTGTGACCTGCCTTCTGGTTATTTTTGTCTGAACTTAGCCACGGTTAACAACTGTCTATGACTCTTGCTCAGCAAAAGTCAAATGAATGTTAAACACGCCTTTCTTCTTGTTTTCTTCTCTGTGTGACTCTGTTTATGCATGGAAGTTGGTTTCTTACTGCCTTTGCCAGGTTCCAGCATGAAAGTGTCCACCTAAAATGAGCAAGAGAGACACCAACTCTCAACAACAAACGTGTTTACTTGGGAGTGGCAAGGGACTGCGATTCCGATGCATGTGCTAGATCAGCCTGCGGCTCCTGGGAGGGGTGGGGGAGGGAAGCTCTGAAAGACAGAAACCCACATCAGAGCCTGTCAGAACGGCGCCTGTTCCCTGGTAGTGCCAAATGCTGCCAGGAGAGGGTCTTCACCAAAATGTCTTACCTGGAAGCTCCAGTCTGGGAAGTCCCTTGTGTAGTTGCTGTCACAGGCACACCTGCGTGTGGCCCTCCAGGCGCCATTTAGTTAGGGTTTGACATAAGTAACTGCATTTTGGTACTGACAACTGTGAAAAGTAAAATCTCGGGACCCCAAAGTCACTATTCCACGGGGAAAATTCGGCCTGGGAGCTGCGTCACACAACAATGCCTCCCCTTCCCCCCAAATAGGGAGCAGTTTCCGAACCCTGTGTCACGGCAGGGTCCCCCGATGGCCGCACTCCCTGAGCCCTGGAACCTTCCAGGACACAGCCCCATCAGCCAGCTCTGAAACGGAGTGGTCAGATCTCAGACTGTTGATCACACCTCCTCTTCCCAGGAACAGGCAGCGCTGTCGTCG